AATATGTTAATCATTTTTTGTGATTGACTAAGACATTTACACTTTTGGTGTAGTTTGTGATGTATCGTGCCTTGATTTCCAGTACAGTCCTCCCATAAGAGTCATAATGATACTCCATTGTTCTGATGACTTTGTCTGCAAGAGTGCCCTGTTCAGAGGGTTATTTTTTGGTTTTCATTCCATATGCTGCCCTACAGAGGTGAAGCAGCAGCTTGTGCCTTTTCAGCTGCTGGCTTTTCTTAAAAATGTGCTGATCATAGTTTGGGAATGTGGTTTTCTATTCAGTTTCCTATTTTCCAGATGATCTCCAATTTGTTTCTTGATCATTGTATCTGCGATGATTTCCTACATACACACATCACCCTTCTGTGTGAAATCGGAGCCCCTTAAGTCCCTTTTAAATCTTTCCCCTCTCACCTTAAACCTATGCCCTCTAGTTTTGAACACCCCTACCTTATGGAAAAGACCTCGTCTGTTTACCCTATCTATGCCCCTCATGATTTTATAAACCTCTATAAGATCACTCCTCAGCCTCGAATGCTCCAGGAAAAATAGCCCCAGCCTGTTCAACATCTCCCTGTAGCTCAAATCCTCCAGTCCTGGCAACATCTTTGTAAATCATTTCTGAACCTTTCCAAGTTTGACAACATCCTTTCAACAGCGGGGAGACCAGAATTGAACACAATATTCCAAAAGTGGCCTAACCATGTCCTGTGCAGGTGCAACATTATTTCCCAACTCCTATACTCAATGCATTGACCAATAAAGGCAAGCATACCAAATGCCTTCTTCACTATCCTGTCTATGTGGGACTCCATTTTCAAGGAACTATGAACCTGCACTCCAATGTCTCTTTGTTCAGCAACACTCCCTAGGATCTTGCCATTAAGTGTATAAGTCATGCCCTGATTTACCTTTCCAAAATACAGCACCCTACATTTATCCAAATTAAACTCCATCTGCCACTTCTCAGCCCCTTGGCCCATCTGACCCGTTGTATTAATCATGAATTTGTTATACAACATCTGGAAATCGCCAAATCCTGGAGGTTTGTCTACCTTAAGCCCTGTGATTTTCTCAATTACCATTTTAGAAATCCTTTACATTTCTCCTTTCAAGCACCTCAAGCCTAGTTGGATAATAGATTGTCATCTGTATACATGACTTTCTCAGTTTATTTTTATTCATTCAAGGGATGTGGCCATCACTGGGGAAGCCAGCATTTATTGGCCATCCCTAATTGACATTCACAAGGGGGTGAACTGCTGCAATCATTGGTGTAGAAGCAAACCCACAGTAAGTTTATGAAAGTAGTTGCATGATTTTGAACTAGCAACAGTAATATTGTTCCAAGTTAGGATGGTGTATGTTTTGAAGGGGAACTTGCAAGTGTTAGAGTACTAGTGCATCTGCTGCTCTTATTCTTGGGTTTGGAAGGTGCTATTGAAGGAGAGTTGGTAAGTTATTCCTACACAGCCTATAGATGCTACACACTGCAATGCATATGCGTCAGTGGTGAATGTAGTGAATGTTCAAGGTAGTAGATGTTGCCAATCAAGTGGACTACTTTGCTATGGTTGTTTTCAAGCTTCTGGAGTGGTGTTAGAACAGCACTAATCCTGGCAAGTGGAATATTCCATCATATTTCTGACTTGTACTTCATGGATGGTTGACAGGCACTGGGAAGTTAGGAGCTGAGTTAGTTGCTGCAGAAATCCTAGCTTCTGACTCACACTTGCAGCCACAGTATGTGTACAGCTGGTAGCATTGAGTGTCAGGGGGAAATGATTAGATTGTCTCTTATTGGAGGTGGTCATTACCTGGCACATGTGCAGGAATAATTGTTACTTCCAGTTTATCAGCTCAAGTCTGAATGTTGGTACAGAGGGATCTGGGTGTTATTGTGTATGAGTTGTAGAAAGCTAGTATGTGGGTACAGCAGGTAATAATGAGGGTAAATGGATTTTTGCCATTTATTGCTAAAAGGAATGGAGTGTAAAAGTAGGGAGGTATTATTGCAATTGTGCATGGCATTGGTGAGACAGCAACTGGAGTACTTCAAACAGTTTTTCTTCCCTACTTGTGAAAGGATGTAGTTACATTGGATGCAATTCAGGGAAGGTTCATGAATAATTTCAATGATGAAAGGCTTGTCCTTAGAGAGTGAGCAGTATAGGTCTAAAATAGCTAAAGTTCAGAAGGAATGAGAGGAGATATAAAATGAGGTATACAAGATACTAAAGAAGATTTAGAAACTAGATATACAGTGCATATTTCCCCTTAATGGAGAATCTAGAATGAGATGTTTTAGGCTAAGGGATGGCGGAATTAAAAGAGAGTTGTAGTAATTGCTCATCTTAAAAGGTTGTGAACAGTTGGAATTTACTACCCTAGAGCACAGTTGTTGCTGGGACATTGAATAAATTTAAGGAGGTACATAGATCTTTAGTTAGCAATGGGTTGAAGGGTTATGGGGAGCCAACAGGGAAGTTTTTAAAGTTGAGGCTGAGTTGAAATCTGCCACGATCATGTTAAATGGCAGAGCAGGCTAAAGGGGCTGCACTGTCTACATCTGCTCTTAGTTCTATGAAATGTTCTTGTCCGGTCTTGCTGTGTTTAGACACTGGAGGAGTTACAAGTAGTGCTGAACATTATACAATCATCAGCAAAAATCCCCAATTTTGTCCTTATGAAGGGAAGGTCATTGAAGTAGCAGAAGAGGATACTACCTTGAGGAACTCCTGCAGGGGTGTTGTAGGGCTAAGTTGATTGACCCCAACAACCACAATCATATTGCTTCTACTGGGTGTAACTTCAACCCGCAGAGATTTCTCTATTTTCCAAGGTTCCTTCATGCTATACTTGGTCAACTGCTGCCTTGCTGTCAAGAGCAGCCATGCTCACCTCATCTCTAAAGCTCATCAAAACATAAGGAATAGGAGCAGGAGTTGGCCACATGGCTCAAGTCAGAATCACCGTTCAACAAGATCATGGCTGAGCTGCCCCAGGATTCAACCCCTCTTTCATGCCAGGTCATCATAGTCACCAACTCCCTGATAATTCAAAAATATAGGTTTATGTCCATGTTTGGACAAAGATTGAAATATGTCTGGAGATGATTAGCCTTGGCAGAATCCAAAACTGAACGTGATAAAGTTGTTCTTTTGCCAGTGCAGCTTGACAACCCTTTTCATCACCAATAGGGTGGCAATTGATTAGATTGGATTTGGCTTGTAAGATGCAGTGGATTCTGGGTCTGCAGGTACATTGATCACAAAAGGTTACAATGCAATTACAACAAATTTGAAAAAAACAAATAGAAATGTTACCATTTGTTGCATGGGGGAATTGAATACTGAACCATAAGCTCCCTAAATTTGTAATGTAAGACATTGGTATCACCATGTCAAGACTGTCTACTGTAATGGTCTCTTTATTGAAGGAATTAAATTTCATGAGGTGGCTCATTAGTTTTTCTCGGCCAATACCTCAAGTAGGCAGGTGGTCTTGAGGAAAGGCTGGCCAGGCTTGTACCCGTTTGTTGGAGTTTGATTTATTGTTGTCACACGTACAGAAATACAGTGAAGTGTTGTTTTGTGCGCTATGCACACAGATTGTGTGCAAAGTGCATCAAGATAACAGAATGGAGTGCAAAACAATGTTACAGATGCAGAGGTGTAGAAAAAAAAATCAACTACCATATAGATAGAAAAAAAAAAATTACGTGACAATAGAAACATACAAGATCCTGAGGATACTTGACAGAGTGAATGTGGAATGGATGTTTCTTCTTGTGCAAGAATCTAAAACTACACATTTTTTAAAAAATGAGAAATCATCTGTTTAGAACAGAGTTGAGAACAATGTTTCATTTGCACAGAGTTGGGGGTCTTTAGAACTCTTCCTGAAAAGGCAGAGCCAAAACGTTTGAATATTTTTAAGGCAGAGCGAAATACAAGCTTGATTAGCAAGGAGATGAAAAGTCATCAGGGATCAGAAGGATTGTGGAGTTGAAGTTGAAATCGAAATCGGACCATTTACAAACTTATTGAATGGCCAGTCAGGCTTGAAAGTCTGAGTGGCCTACTCTTGCTGTTAGTCTACATCTCTAAATGAATTACTGAGCCTCGCAAATAGATTTGATTGAGGTATCATATTGTACACAATTTAATCTAGACATACCATCATCTTTCTCAAGATTAAGAAACTACGTAACTGAAAAGGGAAAACAGTAGAAAATCCTCTCACACAACTTGAAGACAATACCATATCTAAGCTATACCAGCAGGATGGAATATAAATACATGCAGCTAAAATGGAGGTTTTCACTTCTAATATGCTGGCATCACCCCATACCCCCAAAACATCTACTGAAATACAAGAAATGAGAAAGTTTATACCTAAATCAAAATAAAATTATACAGTTGCTTACCATTTCAACACACCATCCCGATTGTAACATTTCTGTCCTGGGCCTGCTGCAAAGTTCCAACACAGCACATTGCAAGCATGAGGAACAACACCTCATCTTCCACTTAGGGACTTTGCAGCCTCTGTTTCAATATTGAATTCAATAACTTCAGAGCCGATTGCATGATGTCTATTATCCATTTTCCTTTTTTCTCACACACCCTCCCCACAGCCTGGTCTTATTTTTGTTTTACTTTGCTCTTTGCTTGGAGGGCACTCCTTCTCTCCCAATTTAATTTATTCTATTTTACATCTCCATTTCTCTTTTCCCACCATTAACAATCCCCTTGACTTTCGCACCGGGATTCTGCCTCTAAAAAATTTCTAAGACCTTTCAGTTCTGATGAAAAAAGTCATACTGGACACAAAATGTTAACTGTTTCTCTTTCCACAGATGCTAGCACACAGAGTAGCACCAGCATTTTTTGTTTGTATAAAATTATACAGGTGGTTTCACTGCATTACTTATCTGGCTTACTTTCAAGACACGCAAATAAAATGCGATATTTATCAAGGCCATGGAAACAGAATTCTATTAGTTAAGTGATCTTTATTTAAATTCAATCAAATTGTGAGAATGCTGTGTTGCTTCTGGATTTTAAATCAATGTACTGGATATTACAGTTCATATGTTACATGAACAAATCTATACAGCTTAAGACAAAGTGTAGTACAGTTGTTCATAAATAGCTTTGCATACAGTCAGCAGTTATTCTATGAAAATTGTTTGCAAAATGGGAATACAGAATGTAGACACATTACACGATTAAAATCAATTTCAACAGCAAATGTTGCTATCTACTTTCTCCCACCACCTACTTCACTTTTCTAAGTTGGTCCCAGCTTCTTTCAATCATCTTCATCATTTGAATCTGGTGCAGGTTCGTTTTTCTCAGGCTGTGGTGGAGGTAGTTCAAGCCGAGCCCATAATATTGGTTCAGCTTTCTTCATAGTAATCTCAATTTTGGCAGGTGTCATACTCATTTGACTTTTACTAACATCAATGACCTTTAGAAAGGAGAGAGATTAAAAAGAAGAAATTACTTCACTGCTTTTTCTAATTTAAAAAGAATGAATTTCACAGAATTTTAAACAAGCATAATAAACAGCATGCTGAGGACAGAACAAATCGCGCACATTATAAATTTTAAATCATCATAGAATCCTTACAGTGTGGAAACAGGCCCTTCGGCCCAACAAGTCCACATTGATCCTCAGAGCATCCCACTCAGATCCATCCCCTAACGTACACATCCCTGAACACTACAGCTAATTTAGCATGGCCAATCCACTTAGCCTGCACATCTTTGGACTTTGGGAGGAAACCGGAGCACCCAGAGGAAGCACACAGACACGGGAAGAATGTGCAAACTCCACGCAGACAGTTGCCCAAGGGTGGAATTGAACCCAGGACCCTGGTGCTGTGAGGCAGCAGTGCTAACCACTGAGCCACCGTGCCGCCCTTAATATTACTGAGCACTAAACAAACCAAAATCAGAGTTTGTTAGAAAGGAAAAAGGAAGCAAATCTACATATGGCAATGACAGAATTTAATTTTGTTGAAGTGGAAAACAAGTTGTATTTATAATCATGCACTTAATGTTTGGAAATGCCCAATACTCCTCCCTACTCGCCCTTAAGAAAGTGATGGTGAGCTGCCTTCTTGAATCACTGCAGTCCACATGCTGTAGGTTGATACACAATGTATTTCCAAGTCAGGATGGTAAGTGGAGTGGAGGGGAAATTGCAGGTGGTGTTTCCATGTGCTTGCTGCTCTTGTCATAGTCACAGAGTCAGAGTTATACAGCATGGAAACAGACTCTTCAGTCCAACTGTTCCATGTCAACCAAACATCCTAAACTGCTCCAGACCCATACATCAGCACTTGGCCCATATCCATCTAAATGCTTCCTATTCATGTACCCATTCAGATGTCTTTTAAGTGATATAATTGTATCTGCCTCTACCACTTCCTCTGGCAGCTCATTCTATACACGCACCACCCACTTTGTGAAAAGGTTGCCGCGCAAGTCCCTTTTAAAATCTTTCCTCCTCTCATCTTAAACCTACGCTCTTTAGTTTTGGACTCCCCTACCCTGAGGGTAGGCCCATCTTTACCCCTATCCATGCCCCTTATGATTTTATAAGCCTCTATAAAAGGTCACCCCTCAGATTTCGACACTTTGGAGAACAAAGTCCCAGCCTATTCAGCCCTGCCCTATAGCGCAAACCCTTCAATTCCAGCAACATCCTTGTAAATCTTTTCTGAACCCTTTCAAAGTTTAACAACATCTTTCTTATAGTAGGCAGACCTTCTACATAGAAGTAGCCATGGGTTTGGAAGCTGTCTGAAGATCTTTGGCGAATTTCTGCAGTGCATCTTGTACACAGTACACACTGCTGTTACTGAGCATTGGTTGTGGAGGGAGTGGATGCTTGTTGACGTCGTGCCAATCAAGCAGGAGGCTTTGTCCTGAATGGTGTCAGGCTTCATTAGTGTTGTTGGAGCTGCACCATCCAGACAAGTGGGGAGTATTCCATTGCACTCTTGACTTGTGCCTTGTAGATGATGGACAGGCTCAGGGGAGTCAGGACGTGAGCTGCTTGCTGCTACATTCCTAGCCTCTGACCTGCTCTTGTAGTTGCTGTGTTTATTGTGTTAAGTCCATTTGAGTTTCTGGGCAGTGGTAAATCAAAGAATGTTGACAGTGGGGAGTTCAGTGATGGTAAGAGATTGTCTCTATTGGACATGGTCATTTGCCTGGCATTTGTGTAGCACAAATGTTACTTTCCACTTGTCAGTACCAGCCTGAATGGTGTCCAGATCTTGTTGCATTTGAATATGGACTGCTTCAGTGTCACAGGAGTTGTGAATGGTGCTGAAGATTGTGCAAACATTCCTACTTCTAACTTTATGATAGAGGCAAGATCATTGATGAAGCTGCTGAAGATGGTTGGGCCTGGGATAATACCCTGGAGAACTCCTAAACAGATGTCCTGGAGCTGAGATGACTGACCTCCAATCACAACCATCTTCCTATACGCCAAGTAGGAATCCAACCCAGTGGTGTTTTCCCTGACTCCCAGAGATTCCAGTTTTGCTAGGGCTCCTTGAAATCACAATTATTCGAATGCAGCCTTCGTGGCAAGGGCTGTCACTCTTACCTCACTTCTGGAATTCAACTCTTTTGTCTACGTTTACACTTTGCTCCAATGAGGTCAGGAGCTGAGTGGCCCTGGCAGAACCCAAACTGGACATCACAGAGCAGGTGCTGTTTTAAAGCATTGTTAAATGACACCTTCCATCGTTTCACTAAGGATCAAGAGTAGATTAATAGGGTGGTAATTGGCTGGGTAGATACCAGAGTCATAACTGTACAAGGCTAGGGGAGTGGCAAATTCTGAAGCACAAGTCTTCAGTACTATAGCCAGAACGTTGTCGGGGCCCGTCACCTTTCCAATATCCAGTACCTCTAATCATTTCTTGATATCACGTGGAGTGAATCGAATTGGCCAGAGACTAATATCTGTACTGCTGGGAACCACTGGAAGAGGTCAAGATGGATCATCCACTTGAATGCATCAGCCTTACCTTTTGCACTTAAGTGGTGGGCTCTTCCATCATTGAGAAGGGGGATATTTGTGGAGCTTCTTCTACCAATGAGTTGTTTATTTGTCCACCACTATTGACAACTGTTGAGGAGAGGTATACACTGGGCCATGTTGCAAGTTGTGCTGGAGTACAATTCTGCTGCTAATGATGGCCCACAGCAGCTCATGAATGCCCAGTCTTGAATTGCTAGATGTGTTCAAAGTCTATTCCATTTAGAATGATGATAATGCAGCACAACATGATGCAAGAGGTTTGAGTGATGCGTATGTAGGACTTGATGTAGATAAGAACACAGGCAGCTTCAGAGGTGACTCAGAATAAATGAGCAGCTCAATGCTTAGCATTAATGGGAAACCATTAGTCAGTGGTAGCGACAAACTTTATTCATCCATCATCGATGACTACTGTAGCAAAGCATGCGAAGAGCAGCACTAGGCATTCCTAAAGCTACAACACAATACTACTTGTATGTTAAAGAACAGAAGTAGCAAGCAATAGAGAAAGCCAAGCAATTCCACAACCAACAAATTGAAGCTTTGCAAGTCCTCTGCATCCAGTTATGAATGGACTACTTTTGGAGGAAGAGATTCCACAAATATCCTCAGCCCAGCATTATTGGTACAAAAAACAGACAGAAATACTAGGTGGATTCATCTCAGCCTTCCTATGTCTCCAACATCATTGATATCAGTCGTCAGCACTTCGATTCACTCCAAGGTGATCTCAAGAAATGGTCAAAGAGACTGGATATTGCAAAAACTGAGGCCGGGCAACATGTACAAAAAAGAGCTGAACTCTACGAGTGAGACAAGAATAACTGCCCTCGACATAAAGGTAGCATTTGGTTGATCGTGGCATTAACAAGCCCTAGCAAAACTGAAAAATAGCTAACAGTGGGAAAATTCTTCTCTGACTGAAATCATATATAGCACAAAGGATTTTTGTAGTCCACCTTCTTAATTCCAGGAACTCCTCAGGTTAATATTCTAGATTGAATTATTGGGTCCTGCTCCTGCATTATATTGCACCAGGGCTAGAAATGTAGTTCAAATCAAGATTTCAGGACAAATGGAAATAACACCCAAACAGAAATAAGGAAAAAAAAAAAAAAAAAAAGAGACCATCAAAACAATCCACTTAATAACACAGACTCTTACTTGAATAAAATTTATATAATCCAAGTGCTTAAACTAAAGAATTGTAAGCAATCGGAAGGTGATGGGACAATGGTAGCGGTCAGTGGACGAGCTATCCAGGAAGCCAGGGTAATGACTGTGAACTGTGAATTCAATAAAAATCTGAAATATCAAGCATCTGTAACTAGTGTCCATATTGCCATTATTAATTGTTGTAAAATCCAAAATTAGATCACTAATGTCCTTTAGAGAAGAAAATCTGCTGTCTTTTCTAATTTAGCCACATGTGACTTCAGATTCAAAGCAATGCAGTTGACTCTTAACTGCCCTCTGGCAGTAAATGCTGATTGAGCCAGCAATGCACTTATCCCATGAGCAAATGTAAAGGTAAAAAGCAAGGAACGTATTAACATAAATTAAGCAGACTGTAGATTTTTCATTCATAAATAGGAGACAAGTCCTACTCTTGTTTCAACATTAAGCACTGAATCACAACTGAGTGCGCTGCCATCCCAATTCTAAAGAAATTAATGCTTATAAAAAGAAAATTATAGTTAATACCCAACTGAATCACAGAAAACAGGCATTTCTGACAGTCAATTTTAGTGCATTCACTTAATAGGACCTGACAATCTTATAGCAGAATCTATACTTACACCCCACAAGTTCACTGTGTGTTCAAATTCCTTTTCCCTTTCAAATAAAATGTGGATATTCAGCTGTAATATATTTTTTAGAGAAAGTAGAATTAATTTGCAGCATTAAAATACTTTGGAATATACACAATGTCAGTTAGAATGCAGTGATGCTTTCTGCTACTCTGTGATGCAACTCTGGCAGTGAAACTTCAGTGTTATCCCAAATTGACTTGGAGAGTTTATATAAACAAGACGCTGCATCTACCAGTCAAAGCATATATATATTAGCAACAGTACAGCTCATCTGTCAAAACAATCTTAGGTCAGAAATTGAATTGAAAGGTAAATCAAGTGTGCTTATTGAATCATTTAGAATACCAAAGAACCATGCTTAAGGAGGAACAGGCTGTGCGATTATCAGCTGATAACACATTATAAAATAACTTGAACCAATGCAGAAAGTGGTGGAAAAATTTGATTCCAAAATTTGAATTCCAGATCACTGTTGGATCAGGCATTTTGCTTCACAACAGGATCATTTACACAGACCTTCAAAAAAAAAAAGTGCGAGACCCAAAATGTCAGCTTTCCTGCTCCTCTGATGCTGCTTGGCCTGCTGTGTTCATCCAGCTCTACACCTAGTTATCTCTGTCTACTGTGCATATGTATAGATAGTCCAAAATAGGCTACTGATGAACAAAATCATCATACCAAATTTCATCAAGTGCATGTACACTACTAAGATCAAGCATACATGAAATATTTATATAAAACTGTTTGACAGATGCAAATTCCTGTATTTCCAAGTTCATTTTCCTTAAAACGGTATGTCCTAACAGATAGAAAAACAAACGTCTCAGCTAACTGGGTTCATTTGTACAGACCCAAAATCTGAATCTGCTTACCTTTACTCATTAAAATTAAGGTAAAGTTGCCACAGTCTCAGCAGCTAAAGGGTTGCTCTTTCATTACAGAGAGACGAGCAGTGAATTTAACATGAGGGTCACCATGCCTCAGGCAAGGACTGAGGTTGAGGAGGCAGATCGTTCGTGGTAATTTCAGCTGATGCAAAAACACTTATCAAACCTGCCGTCCAGCCAACTGAATTAACCAACCACCGCCCCCACCCAGTACTTTTGATGAGTACCTCCGTTCTCATGTAATAGATTCATTTCACCAATGATGCAGTCATTGACTTAACATACTGAGAATCAGTATCTTATTGAAAAAACTTTTATCTATATTCGACTAAATTTAGATCCGTCTCCACAAAATCTATTTTTTTTTTGCCCCATTTAAAATTCTCAGCTGATACAAACATACCCCATACGCCTGCTACCTGCCTGCATGATAAGAAAAAAAAGTGATTCAATTGACAAAGTAGTGAGTAACCACAGGAAACAGATTTAGGCTGACAGTCCAAAGGAATCAGAGGCGATATTTGAATACTTGCGATGCTATGGGAAGAGTAGAAGGGAACGGGACTAATTGAACAGCTCTGTCAAAGAGTCAGCACAGACGTGAAAGACTGAATGGTCTTCTGTGCTATGTCATATTGAACTTTTTAAATAATTACTGGCAAAGTTTCTCTATCTGATAGCAAAGGTAAAGTTGCCATCGTTCTACCTTACCACAGGGCTGCTCTCATTATAGAGCTGACTGGTAGTGAGTTTAACTCAAGAGTAGCAGCATCAGGCGACAGGCAAGGTTGAGAAGGTCGGACTTTCATAGTGCAGGAATTAAACCTCCACTGTTGGCGTCACTGAATCACAAACCAGCCATCCAGTCAACTAGCTATCCACTCCCCTGCCCCCACCCAGTCTAATGGTTAACAGCTAGATCAGCCAAAACAATTTAAATAATCTGAACACAAGTCTAATTACTGCACAAAACTGTCTATGTCTGCATTTTTGAAAAATAACCTGACTGGGCATCTTGGTGGAAGCCAAGATTGTTCAATACCTGACTCTTAACTGTAGAAAACTTACCAGATGATGCATAACTCAAGCACGCATGCTGTTTAAATTTGCAACCTGGTGCCAACTCAACTTATTTACCATTATAATACTGGAACATTCTTTTTCCACAGAAGGCTGCTATGATTTCTCCATTCTCTACATCCCTAGCTTCAGTTATTCTGCTGCTCAGAAACAATAAAGCCCAGAATTGGAAGGGAATAGAAATGAAAAGTGATGCTCATTACCCTTTATGGTTCTCTTAGTGCACCAAGGGACAGGAAAATGCACCAAGTTAATTACTTCATGTTTCAACTGCAAGACCTCACAGCATGGATCAGAGACAGAAAGCAAGTGGTCCATGACCTGATAAGTACCTGTGTAAAAGTCCTGCTGTGATGATTTCTACTGAAGAGCTGCGCTAGGGAAGCCTTCCATCCGTAGACTCCACCTACATTTCTTATGGCCACGGAAAGGTAGCCAATATCAAAGACCCCTCTCACCCTGCTTAGAATCACCTCCAACCTCTCCGTCAGACAGAAAATACAAAAGCTTAAACACACGTACCAACAGGTTCAAAAACAGCTTCTTCCCTGCTGTTATTAGGCTTCTGAATGAAGATCTCAAATTTCAAATCTAACATTGACCTTGCTTTTTGTGTTCCTTCTCTGCAGCTATAACTTTGTATTCCTCACTCTGTCCAATTACTCTATGATCTTTGTATGTTGTGATCTGCTTGTGCTGCACACAAAACACTTTTCACTGAGCTTAGGTACACGTGACAACAATAAGTCAAATCAACTTCTAGTAAATTTAAAAAAACATATACCACACGCAAACAAGATATGTACAACTAATGTCAAGCAATGCATTAAAGAAACTGAAATTAGGAAATTTGGATGTTCTTCATTAATTCTAATTTAATTAAATGACAGCTGTTTCAAGTTAATTATGGCACAGGGCAGTTGCTGTGAGAAGATTATATCTTATGCACTGACTTCAGAGACAGGTCAGGTATTGAACATATCAAGTACTAAAACTAACTGCATAAACACCTGAATTTTCAGTCATTGAAACTTTTGAGTTCAGCGACCTGGATCAATATATCGGTATCTAAGATTTTTTGTGAAATACAACAGTGTAAAGATTGCAGTTTTAAAAGTTAGGCGAACTCCAATTTCATTCTGTCTTTACTTAAATCAAATTATTGTAAAAGCTATAATATAGAGAGAGTTATACTTACCACTGAGCTGTTTGCTTCAACATAACTCAGCTCTGGGTCAGAGTTTTTGGCATAAACAGTAATTATGACTTGTCCCCCAGTTTGGTGCCAATCATGTCTGCATGGTACAACTTGATTGGCCTGCAAAAATAGAAGCCATATAATGAATCTGCTAACTTCATTTTACAATCCTGAAGTGGGGCTTTTGAGTCAAACAACAACTAGCAATTATGGGATTAAAAAGATTCTTGAATGCCAAGCTTACGAAGTACACAGGAAACAAAGCAACTTCATTGCAGAAGAGAGAGTTATATGGTTTGTTCCAGTAAACAATATCTCAGGCACATCTCCTGATGACATCCAGTTGAATAGGTGGTGCGTAGTATCCATTTGATCCTACAAATCAGTTCCAGACAGACAATGTGCTAATGTTATTTCCACACTGAAAATACATTCCATCAAGGTGAGGTATCCCCGGCTGTCAAGCTGATCTGTTATGTAAAAGATTTTTTGTCTCTTTCAGTGGCAAGAGTGAATGAACATTGGCCATTTAGTTGTGACATTGAATTAGATCACACAATGGCAGTTGTCCTGTGTCACTGTTGTCCTTAATTTCAGAACTCCTTAATCTGATCATTCCTACTGGAGGCAGCACAGTGATAGTGCAAGACAATTATAACAGTACATAAACTGTTTTAAACTCTGTATTGTTCGAGAAATCTCCTGGTTTACCAGTGGAGACTGATTTCTCAGCGTAAAATAAAGGCTACATGATGTTCGACTACAAGACCCTGTTCAGTGTTGGTTTAAAACAATCCACAAAATTTAAAAAAAAACTCCTGTCTTTTGTGATGAGCATAGATACCTGTCTTACTTCAAAAAAAAGCATGTCAGCTTTCTAAGCTGTTTCATGCTTACTAGTCAAGCTCCTACCTGGCTAGTCAGCTCTGTGAGGTAATGTCATCAACAGGGACTCAGAGCAAGTTTACTAAAGAAACAATACAGAACATGACATGACTGTTCAATGGCATCTAAAACTAGGAACTATGCTATTGGATGAATATCCAGAATGCCTAGCCAGTAGTCTAGTTTCCTGGAGCAGAGTGTCTCTGCATTAGTTCTCAATTGCTGAAAGGATTTTTTCCAGTATTTTTTTCTGGGATGTGGGGTCGTTGGCTAGGCCATTGTTTTTTGCCAAACCCTAACCGCACTTTAGATGCTGGTGAGCAGTCTTCTTGACCTGCTACGGCCATGGGGTTGTGGGGGGGTGGGGGATCGTACACACCCACAGCACTGTTAGGAGTTCTAGATTTTCACTAAGCCACAGTGAAGGAATGATGATGCCGTGTAACTTGAAGAGTAATTTTGTACGTGGCAATGTTCTCATGGATTTGCTGCTCTTGTACTCCTAGGTTATAATGTTACAGAATTCCAACAACCACATCCATCTTGCTTTGTGCTAGATATGACTAACCAGCGGAGATTTTCCCTGATCCTCCATGACTTTAATTTTGCTAAGGATTTTTGAGTCTATACTCAGTCAAATACTGACTTGATGTAAAGGGGAGTCACTCTCATTTCTTCTCTGGAGTTCAGCCCTTTTGTCCATGTTTGGTTAAAGGCTGTAACAAGGTCCGAAGCCAGGTGTCCTGACAGAGAACATGCCGAAAGTCAGTGAGAGCAGGTAATTGTTAAGCAAGTGTCATATGACGGCACTGCTAATGGTACCTTCTATCACTTTGCTGATTAGTGAATGTAAACTCATGGGGTTGTAATTGGCTGGGTTGGATTTGTTTTGCCTTTTGTGGACAGGGCATGCTAAATAATTTTTCACATTGTTGGGTTGATGCCAGTGTTGAAACTATACTGGAACAACTTAGCTAAGGATGTGGCTACTTCATAAGCCCATGTCTTTGGAAGTACTGCTGGAATGGTATCAGGGCCCATAGCCTTTGCAGCACCTAGTGCCTTCTTGATATTAGGTGGTGATGTTATGGCTGGGATAGAACCATAAAGACAATGCAGCACAGAAAGGGGCCCTTCATCCCATCCTGTCCATGCTGACTCAAAGACACCAGATGCCTTTTCTCAACTCATTTTCCTGCATGCAGCACATAGCCTGCAGCTTACAGCACTTAAGGTGCAGTTCCAGGTAAAAAGAAAAAAAGAAAGAGAGTTTAGGATCTCAGCCTCCATGAACCAACTCGGGCAGCAAATTTCAGACGTCCATCGCCCTCCGAGTATTTTTCCTCATGTCCCATTTAATCCATCTGCCACTTAGCACAAATCTATGGCCACTGGTTTTTGAAATCTCTGCCAAGGGAAATATGTTCTATCTATCTAGTCTATCTCTACCCCTCATGATTTTAAACCCCTCAATCATGTTGCCCCCTCAGCCTTCTCTATTCCAAGAACAATTCCAACCTATCCTCTTAGCTACAATTCTCCAGCCCTGGCAACATTCTAGTAAATCCTCTCTGCACACTCTCCAGACTCCTTCCTGTAATGTGGTCACCAGCACTGCAACAATACTCCAGTTATGGCCTCACCAGTGTCTTATGCAATTTCATCATTATATCGCTACTTTTGTATTCTATGTTTCTGCCAATGAAAGGCAGCATTCCATATGTGTTCTTTACAACTTTATCTTTAGGGACCTGCGCAACTTGCACACCAAGATCTCTCACTTCGTCTACCTCTCTCAGTATATTCCTGTTTATTGTGTATTCATTTTTACTGTTGACCTCCCTAAATGCATTACCTCACACTTAGCAGAAATGAGCTCCAGCTCCCATTTTCCTACCCACTCCACCAAACCATCTATACCATTTTGGAGCTTATGCCTACCCTCTCACTATCCTCTACATAACTAATTGTGTGTCATGGGCAAATTTCCCCAATTGCATCCAAGTTCAAGTCCAAACCGGGAATGTTTAAAACAAACAGGAGTCCCAACAGAACCCCGTGGAACACCACTTAAAACAGTTTCCCATTTGCAAGGACAGACGAGGGCCATTGCCCTTTGTTTCGTGTTACTAAGCCGACTTTGGATCTAATTTGACACATTATCCTGTATCTCATGGGCTTTTACTTTCTTGATCAGTCAACATATGGAACCTTGTCAAATGCCTTACTGAAATCCATATAGGCAATATTCATTGCACTAGCCTCATCAATTGTCCGGTCACTTCTTTAAAGAATTCAAGTTTGTAAGGCATGCTGACTACACCTATCTAGTCAATGCCTAAGATGAGTTTATCTGATCCTCAGTGTGCCCCCACCGAAGTAAGACTAGCTGGCCTATAATTATTTGGCATTTCATACAGTCAGAGTCATAGAGAACAGGCATAGACCCTTTGGTCCAACTCGTCTGTGCCGATCAGATATCTCCATTTGACCCATATCCCTCTAAACCCTCCTTCTTCATATAACCAATCAGATGCTTTTTAGATTTTGTAATTGTACCCACCTGGCAGTTCGTTCTGTACATGCACCACCCTCTGCATGAAAAAGTTACCACTCAGGTTCTTCTCAAAATCTTTCCCCTCTCATCTTAAATCTATGCCCTCTAGTTTTGGACACCCCACCCCCTAGGTAAAAGACCTCAGGTATTCACCCTATCCAAGCCCCTCATGATTTTATAAACCTCTAAAAGGTCACCCCTCAGCCTCTGAAGTTCCAGTAAACAACGGAACCACACTGGACTGGCTACTTGGCACTTCTGGCTGCAGATTCTAGCGAATGCTTCAACCTCATGTTTTGCAATATGTGCTGGGCTCCCCATCATGGCAGATGTGGATATTTATGGAAACTCCTTCTCCAGCGAGTAGCACTATTCATAATTATATGTGACAGAACCCAGATCTCATCCAATGATTCCGGAAATCACTTAACTCAGGCCATTATGTGCTGCTTTGCAAGGAAGTATTCCTGCGCGTAGCTTCTCCAGGTTGATACTTTATCAGGAATGCCTGTTGCTGCTCCTGGTTGAATACAATTTTTGCTGATTCTGCTGGTCCACAGCACTTGTCTTGAATTGCTGGATCTGTTCAAAATTTATCCCATTCAGCACAGTAGTAGTGCCATTTCCTCAATGTGAAGGTGGGAGTTGGTCTCTACAAGGACTATGTGATGGCCATTCTTACCAATATGGTTATGGTCATATGCATCTCTTATAGGTAATCTGGATGAGGATGAGGTCAAGTACATTTTTTTCTCTTGTTAGTTCCCTCTGCAACTGCTGCATGCCCAGTCAAGCAGCTGTTACCATTAAAACACACCTAGTAGAGCCACAACTACCAGGCTGAGTCACTGTTTGTAATAGACATTGAAGTCCTTCAGCCAGAGGACATTCTGTGCCCTTGCCATCCTCATCAGTCTCATACTGTGATGATGAGGAAATCTTAATATATTTTGCTTTTACAGATATTGCAAATGATAGTATTGGATAAGGAAATACTTCTAAATGATACAAAGAGAAACACAGACTGTTAGACCTACTGCAGTTGCTTTGGTCCACATGTGCTTGCCTTGTGTACAGCCCCCTTGGGACATGAAAGAATTGAAATCAGAAGTTTTTCTCTTACAGCAGCTCCAATATTTCATCCTGGAGAAAAAAAAAAGTTGAATGCAAACATTTAAAATAATTAATTGCATACTGGAAGCACAATTTCTATCAAGAATGTTAAGCTTTAATACAATTACATACAGTGTGAATTTTCCAGTTGCACTGGGCTACTCGCTCATTGGAAACCGACAGCTGGTAGTGAGTTTAAGCTATGGATCACCATACCTCAGGTGAAGGGTGAGGTAGAGAAGGAAGAACCTTCATGGCAACCTCTGCCAGTACAGAACTGAACCCAAGCTGTTGGCGGCATTCTACATCGCAAACCAGCTGCCTATCCAACGGAGCTAACTAACCCCGGTCATTACAAAATGCCAGCGAGCAGTGTTTTCTAGTGGATTTGCACAAGATCCTTAACATCCATATAGTTTTTACTCATTTAAATCTTGAGCACTTATTCCACCAGCTCACAAAGCCATCTGTATCTTCTGAATGAAGCGTGTATTCACTGGCTATTTTAGTGTGAGTATTACAATGTTTATTTAAAATGTATTCATTTGAGCAGGATGTTTGCATTGCTGGTAAGCCCAGCATTTATTATCCATCAGCTCTACAAATGAGTTCGTGTACGTTACAGTGGAATATGATTGATGTAACAAATGTAAAATAAAAATGAAACTCACTGAAATAGACAGAAAGATAGACAAATATCTATTTAACAAATAAAAAGAAAAAGTAAAACAAAAACACACATTTACCTAGCTGAGAGAGATGCAGGAGAGCATTGCTGGACACATTGTAGCTCCTCATTGCTGTGTCCTAGGTTGCACAGCATACCTCAGTATTTATGACAAAGCAAAATCACCCCCAAAAATGTAAATTCCTGGCTTCAAATGAGGTTTCTGTCCTGGAACAGCATAAGCTTTATGCTACCCCAGAAAATTTTATATATTTTGTGTTCCTATCATCAGTCAAAGGAGAAAAATTATAGCCCCTACAGTATTATTATCTTGGAACACAGCGAAGATAAACCATACATACCCTTCATGGAAAATGGGCACTCCAGAGTGATAAACACATACCTCTTCATTGCTGCCTGCATCTAGAAACGTCTTCAATAGGTGTACAAGGGCAAAATTTAAAAATAAATCAGAAAAGACTGTAAATTGGATTAGTAAAATCACTCAACGTATTCGATTTCTTATTCTTTCGCATCAGTTTTGACTATTAGAACATCCGGTTTTCCAATAACAAAGACTAAACAGCAAACTAACAATACATCAATTTGTAGATGAGTGTGACAATTCAAAATCACATTTGTTATCTTGTTCAAAGATATTCCAAAAGCAATATGCCTTAATAAAAATGTAAAACAGACACTGCCTTTAGGCTGGAACAATGTTATTACAAATTCATCGAAGTCTTCTGCTAAATTACTACAGTAAAAGAAATTGTTCTCTTTAATAAAAATATCTTGACAGTGTAAAAACAAGTGGATTGAAAGTATTTGCAGACAGCTCCATGTTAAATATATTCTCCCTATAAAACTGAGAAATAATGTATACATTAGGTAAAATTAAAGCTAATGAGCAATAGTTTTCTCCTCCTCCCCATCATCAATAAATATAGAATGAAAAAGTAAAGCTTTTCTCACTATAGTCATTTGTGAAAGACACGTTCCTCCATTAGAGTGCAACGAGCTCAACTATAATATTTCAGCCAGAGTATTATTCCTTCATATGGTTTAAGGAATGGAACAATTTTATTTTCACTTGTCTGTTGTGCATTTACCAATTTTAAACAAGTTAATTTAGTGGAAAATCTTGCTTGATTCAAGAAGACAGAACAAAAGGCTTGCTGCTCTAATAAATTATCTACATATGGCTTTCAAACATATGCAGCATTTCTCAGCATCAAGCATTTTAAATTCCCTGAATTTCTGCCCAAAGGTCAAACAGCCTACTATTTTCTTTCAGAAAATCCCCAATGTCAAGATTCAAAACAAACAGTGTCTTTTATTTCACAAAAGAACTACAGGACATACTTTGATTTCTACAGTTGATCTTGCAGATTTAAAACAAAAAAGTGACTCTCTACCAGAACTGAATCATTCCTGAAGTCCATAATAAGAAAGCTTAATGTCAGTGTACACTTTCTATTTGGTTTTATAAATTTCTATAATAGAGAGAACCCAATTAAACTTGCTATACTGATTGGGTCCTCCCACCGAAACCAATACTGTAACAAATCAGTTTTGACTCTCTAGAAGATACTTTCTAAACAATTCCCAAAGCATTTATGAGTGCATGATTTTGAAGACCGAATTATACTTGCACATCATACTCAATTATTTTCTTTCCTCCAACAGTACATCTCATTTCCTGATGCCCATTTGCAATACCAAAGTAGGCTAAGCAACTGACAGGAAATCAGATCAGCTTTAGTTATTGCCTGCATTTGAGGAAGTAGTAAATTCCTTTCGAGAATTAGCACTTATCATAAGTAGAGACAAAATACATAGACCTATTTACGAAATTTAGCTGCTTTATTACTAATTTAACAGGGTCCTAGTCTCATTTTATTATTTTCAAACACACTTTCTTGATCATACTTTCTTTTCTTGTGATAAAAGGCTAAGTTATAACAGCAAGGCTTAGTTTTTATCCCCCCAACTGCTTACCTTGTTACAACCTGCATTTTTACATGTGGTCCCAACCTTTACTTCATTACTATCCTCTTCTGTAAAAGACAGAACATTTTCTAAAAAAAGACTATACAATATCAGGAAGCAGGTGAAGAAAGTTGTAAATTTTTAAATTCACCTCGGCATTTCCAGGCTGTGGTTTTCAAAAATGCAACTACTCATTTTTTCACGTCAACAACAGACAATGAATTATAAATTAAAAATAAGAACCAGTTTATATGTCAATGTTGCCAGCAAGAAACATTTTATGTAACAAATAAACTTGAATTAACTTCCTTTTCTAAAGATCTTTATCAGCAATAATCACAACTAAAAACCTTTAACTATCCACAATACAATTAAAAACAAGAGCGTTAAGAACATCTTCAAACTAAGTACTGCAGCTTGAATGTCCAAAACTATTCACCTTCCTTGCTAGGTCCGTTGTCAGTAGTTAACTTGAGTTTTTCTAGGGCTTGCTTCAATGACAAAGAAACCTTTTGTTCCAATCTTACTAAAGGGGCATCTGGGCTATTAGGAAAAAAGAAAATTCAAATCATTTTTTGGGTTGTTACATACGTACGTTTTATTTTTTCTTTTAAAAATAGATTTGGTTCACCTGCCTCCATATTTACCTTTTTCCAAAAAAAAAAAAACACCCATAGCAAACTTACCCAAATGTAAGTGCAACACTGAGGACATTAAGATATTAACCTGTCAAGATGTAACAGGTTCATCCTAGAGTTTCAAACTCAAGTCAAAAAGGTAATTATAACAATCTCCAGTTCTCATATTTTATAGCCAGATCCTGATATGGATTGAGAGATCAAGATCAAAAGAGACAGTTATCACAAAGATACATGGAAAGTATGTGGATGTTTTCATTTTAAAAGTGGGATAACTGAATAATCCATTACAGATACAGATTAAGGATGAGCAAAATCTAGCCAGGTAGAAATAAGGCTACTTTAAGGTGGTTTAAGTTATTAAATTAGCTTAGCTCTCATTCATAAAGTCTACTGACTCTGTTTTACAGATCAGAAATATGAACTCCATACCATATGCAAGACAACAAGGTGCAGGGCTGGATGAACACAGCAGGCCAAGCAGC